GTTGGCTGGGCAAGGTGGCAAACACCTGTAATCCCAGCACTTTGGGAGGCTGAGGTAGACGGATCACGAGGTCAAGAGATCGAGACCAGCCTGGCCAACATGGTGAAACCCCGTCTCTACTAAAAATACAAAAATTAGCTGGGTGTGGTAGTGCACACCGGTAGTCCCAGCTACTCAGGAGGCTGAGGCAGGAGAATCGCTTGAACCCAGGAGGGTGGAGTTTTCAGTGAGCCAAGATCATGCCATTGCACTCCAACCTGGGCAACAAGAGTGAAACTCTGTACCAAATATATATATATATATGTATATAGTGCTCCCCCTTATTCAGTTTTCATCCATTGAACCCAGTGGACCACATGGGACTTTTGTAGGGGAGGAAAAAGTATATCCTACCCTCTTAGGTTCAGTAGCTGGGCCTGCAAAATAATTGGACAAATGAGAGATTAACAGGAGAAACAGGCAAGATGTGATGGCTCACACCTGTAATCCCAGCACTTTGGGAGGCCAAGGCAAGTGGATCACTTGAGGTCAGGAGTTCAAGACCAGTCTGGCCGACGTGGTGAAGCTCTGTCTCTACTAAAAATACAAAACTTAGCCAGGTGTATTGGTGCACGCCTATAATCCCAGCTACATGGGAGGCTGAGGCAGGGGACTTGCTTGAATTTGGAAGGTTGAATTTGAATTTGCTTGAATCTGAATTTGAGGTTGCAGTGAGCCAAGATCATGCCACTGCACTCCAGCCTGGGCAACAGAGCAAGACTGTCTCAAAAAACAACAACAAAACTGGAGAAGGGCATAAACATTTTATTTGATGTTAAAAGTTTTGTTTTCTTTGTTTTGTTTTTCAGATTGTGTGGACCCCTACACCAGAATAGGTTTCGGGTGACTCTCTAATGTTAAAAGTGTTGCCTGGCATGGTGGGGGAGGGGTGCTGCATGGAAGAGAAACCCCACGAAGCAGGCCTGGTGGCTTTATACCATTCTAACAAAGGACCATAAATTTGTAGAGAAGTGACAAGGCAAAGGAAAGTGGCTTCTGGACTTTCTAGGGGTAGCAGGCTGTGGGAAGGTAAACCTGGGGACACTGTGGTAGATAAGCTATTTGGTAGGGCTTGTGTGTGTAGACGCTTCTTGGTGCCATCTCTGTCTCCAGTGATAAAGCTGTTCTCCCCTGCCTGGTATGGACAAGCCTGGAGGGCTTCACAAGGAAATGTGCACCCTGCTTTTCAGGCAGAAAGCTCATCCCATCTGCTTTTTCTCAATTGCCTTCAGCTCAAATAATCCTTATGCCAGAGGGTATATTTTGGGGTGGTCCCTATGCCTTCAAGCCCAGGTCCCCGTGAGGAGCTGGATCACCCCCACTTGCGGACTGCTCCTGTGTTTTAGGAACTGGTTCCTCTTCTCTTACCTGGGGGATGGGACCTTTCCCCAAGCTCCTGTCTTTGCACTTTCTCACTCTATGATGTCTCCCTCAGCCATCCATCCTAAGCTGGAGGCTACCCTTTCCCTCTGTGTCAGACACCCCAGCCCTGAGCCTGCAGCTCTGACCGCCTCCCCAGGTGTGACAGTGCCTGATGCCCGGGGGTCCCCTAGGAGACCATGTGTTGCCCGGGTGGGTTTGCCAACACAGCTGTTTATCCCACAGCAAGGAGGGGAGGAGCAAGAAGAGCAAGCAGGGAGGGTCTGTCCAGCAGACACTGGACTGAGTGGGCTTCAAGGCAGCACGGAGTGAGTTGGCCAGTGGTGGGGCCCTGGGGACTCAAAGCAACCAATGGGGCGTGGCCGCCACAGCCCCCTGGGGGACTGGGAACTTGACCCTGGAGAATGCAATGCAAAGCAGTGAGACTTCACAGCTTTTCCCTGTTCTGGGCAGGAGCTGTGTCCTTGCTGAGTAGCAGTGACCTTTAGGTGTTAATACGAACCCCTCAGAAACACTTTGATAGGAAAAAGTGTGCTAGCTTGCCACTTTTCTGTCCCTCCCTCCCTCTCCAACAGCAAACACCCAGTGCAAGTAACTGCCAATGTGCAGCTGCTGCAGCCCTGTCTTTACTCCCCTTGTAATAAAGTCATGAGTGCCCTGGCGCATAGCTGCGTGCAGCCATCATCAAGACGAGCTGGGCACGGTGGCTTATGCCTATAATCCCAGCACTTTAGGAGGCTGAGGCGGGCATATCACCTGAGGTTGAGAGTTTGAGACCAGCTTGACCAAAATGGAGAAACCCTGTCTCTACTAAAAATACAAAATTAGCTGGGCATGGTGGCGCATGCCTGTAGTCCCAGCTACTTGGGAGGCTGAGGCAGGAGAATTGCTTGAACCCAGGAGGCGGAGATTGTGGTGAGCTGAGATTGCACCATTGTACTCCAGCCTGGGCAATAAGAGCAAAACTCTATCTAAAAAAAAAAAAAAAAGACGATTGTGATCACATAGCACTGTTGTAGGCACTTGGCACATTTACTCATTTAATCCTCACAATAGTCCTAAGTGAGGGTACTATTATCACTTCATAGATGAGGAAACTGAGCACGGGAAGACAAAGGTGACACAGTTTGTGGGAGGGACAGTCAGGATTCAAGACAGCTGGACCCAAAGGACACGCTCGCTACTACTCTGTCGGCTGTGGGTCCAGCATCCCTTCTGCTGGGAAGACCCCAATTCTGGTCTGACCCTGGCCCCAGGTTAGGTGATGAGGAATTTCATTCCTGTGCCCCCTGTGATTGGTTCGGGGGAGGACACAGGCACCAAACTAGGCCCAGCAGCATCCTCCCCTGACTCTCTTGCCAGAGCTGGTGGGAACAAGTTTCTCTTTTCTCAGCAGGTAACTGACACTTGGGAGCACAAAGGGGACCAGCCCCAGGGAGCCGAGCCGGAACGGCAGAGCCCTGAGGACCAGGCCCTGGCCCAGCCCGGCCCACACCCAGCCGTTGTGCTGGTTGACTCATCTCTTTGCTTAATCGAGTTTGAGTTTGGTTTCTGTTCCTTCTGATGTCTGGTTCACCCTGTGGTCTCAGTATCTAGCAGTGCCTGGCATATAGTGGATGTTCAAAATAATCCCAGCATTTTGGGAGGCCAAGGAGGGCGGATCGCCTGAAGTCAGGAGTTTGAAACCAGCGTGGCCAACATGGCAAAACCCTGTCTGTACTAAAAATACAAAAATTAGCTGGAGGTGGTGGCACGTGCCGGTAATCCCAGCTATCCTGGAGGCTGAGGCAGGAGAATGGTTTGAACACAGGAAATGGAGGTTGCCGTGAGCCGAGACTGGGCCACGGCACTCTAGCCTGGGCAACAGGGCAAGACTACATCTCAAAAAAAAAAAAACTGTTGAAAACATAAGTGAGGCTGGGCGTGTTGCCTCATGCCTGTAATCCTAGCACTTTGGGAGGCTGAAGCAGGAGGATCACCTGAGGTCAGGGGTTTCAGACCAGTCTGGCTAACATGGCAAAACCCTGTCTGTACTAAAAATACAAAAGTTAGCTGGGCATGGTGGCGCATGCCTGTAATCCCAGTTACTCGAGAGGCTGAGGCAGGAGAATCACTTGAACCCGGGAGGCGGAGGTTGCTGTGAGCTGAGATTGTGCCATTGCACTCCAGCCTGGGCAACAAGAGCAAAACTCCATCTCAAAAAACAAGGAAAAAGAAAGTGGCAGCTTTTGGAGGGAAGTGGGTATTCATAAAAAATTTTTTTTGATGGAGTCTTGCTCTTGTCACCCAAGCTGGTGTGCAGTGGTGCCATCTTGACTTGCTACAACCTCTGCCTCCAAGGTTCAAGCAATTCTTCTGCCTCAGCCAGCCTCCTGAGTAGTTAGGATTACAGGTGTGCAACACTACATACTGCTAATTTTTTTGTATTTTTAGTAGAGATGGGATTTCACCATGTTGGCCAGACTTGTCTTGAACTCCTCACCTCGGCCTCCCAAAGTGCTGGGATTACAGGTATAAGCCACCCCACCCCGCTGTAAAATCTATTTTTTAAATGCTAGATATTAGTTTACAATTTGAGAAACTATGTAGGTCAAACAACCCATCCGCTGGCTAGCTGCGGCCCCAGGGTCGCAGAGACCCTGCTGGGAACCAGGAAGGGCAAGTGAATGATCCAAGGCCAGGGCTACGTATGAAGGCGCGAGGGTGAGAGCTGCTGAGGGCGCTCGCTGAGGGCGGGGCGGGAGCAGACATCCAGCTGGGGCATCACTCACTAGCTTACACTGCCAGGTGCTGCACAGGGTCTGACAGCTTCCAAAGCAGATGGCTGCCCCATCGCTGCACTCAAGGCCTGGCCTTGCTAATGCTTTCCCAGATGTGTATCTTCACAGACAAGAGTAAGTACCACAGAAAGTGACCTGGGTCTAAAGTAAGCAACTCATCCTAGTTGGCCTGGGGTTTTCTGGTTGTAAATATGGAAGTCCTACAACCCAGAAACCCCCTTAGTCTGATGCAAGCCGGGACGGTTGGTTTGCTTAGACTCCTGCTCCCTGCGCACCCCCAGCCAGCCGGGGGAGAATGATAATGGCAGCTATCAGGTGTGGCTTATCAAGTGCCAGAGGACACCATGCATTATAACCTGCATCGCTTCCCTTCTGTCTTATAGCAGCATCGTGGTGTGGACTTATTCTCTCTGTTCTACAGCTAAGTAGGCTGAGAGTGACATGACTCGCCCAGGGCAAGTGCTGGCACTGGGGTTTGAACCCACAGTGCTTTCATTCAGCACTGTCAACTGTACTGCCCTCTCCTGCCTCTCAGCCTGAGTCTGCAGGGCCAGCCGAGGCCCCACGGAAGTCTCTGTGGGAGCTTACCTGGGTGGAGGTTCAGTAGGAATGGGTTTTTGCAGGTCTGAGACCCTCCTGCCCACACTGCCCCCAGCTGTGCTCAGGCTCTTCTCTGCCTGCACATTTGCCCCTAATGGGACAACCTGAGAAACCCTCAGGGGACATTGTTTCTACCCCACCCTCAGACCCCCTGTGCTGTCACCATGTTGCTCACTGCACCCCAAGGGAGGAGCCTGGTGCTTAGAAAGAAACGCTTGCTGGGGATTTATTGCATGGGCTGGGGGAACCGTGCAGAGCAGAGGTTGGCCAGGGTACAGGGTGTGAGGGTCCCAGGGGGCTCTGGAGGCCACTGAACCAGCCCTTCGGGGGTCCCTGTGCAGGGCTCTAATCATAGTTGGGGTCAGCATGGGCCCGGCGTGCGGTGAGGTGGCTGGTCAGATAGCGCATGGCTGAGCGGACACCCTCCACGGTCCTCTGCTCCACCGTCTCCAGCACATGGGCGATGGCGCGCAGGGCTGAGCCGGTCCCGCACACCAGCCCGGAGGACAATGCCGAGCCGACGCTTCCCAGCATGCTGGAGACCGAGCGCAGGCCGGGCCCCGAGCTGTGCAGCAGGTCTGCCACAGTGCTGCGTTCAGAGGCCAGGAAGCCCGTGGCCACGGCCATGCCCATGGTGGTCTCGGACCACACCAGGATGTCTGCCAGGGAGCTGATGGAGCCCTGGCCCCTGCCCAGCAGGCTGGTCATGGAGCGCATGTAGTCATTCTCATCACTGGCCATGTACAGGCTGGGATCCAGGGGTCTCCTCCCCAGGGCCACCTCGTGGGGGCCAGGTGATGGGGGCACACTGCCTGCTGGAGATGGAGGGAAGGACCAAACCTGCGGGTCTCCTAAGCTGTCCACCACGTTCTCCCCAGTGGCCATCGGGGACTCATTGGATGGCAAAGCTTCAGCGTCAGGGCGTGGGGCCTTCAGACACTCAGCTTTCTCCTTTGCAGCCTTGGTGGTGCCAGTGGCCTCAGGGCCACCCTGGCCATCGGCACCAGCTGTGACCTCGTCAGCATCACTCCCGGCTAGCTGAGCCTCCATGTGCTGGGTGGACTGTGGCTCAGCACTCGGGGCAGAGGGGGCTGACTCTGGCTCTCTCTTGGGAACACTTGCTGTTTGTGATGTCTTGTCCTTACCCAGAAGGTGACTTGGGAAAACCATTAGACTTTGACTTGTCCTTGCGTCTTGAACCAGTGTGTCCCATGTTGGATTCTGGAGGCTCATAGACGTTTGCAGGGGACCTGGGTTTTGGCTGGGAAGCAGGGCTGTGATTTTTCTAGGTGTCTTCTGGTCATGTTCTGGAACAACTGCACCCTTGTCTTTGTCCCCAGATGTTGATATGGCCTCGGGAGTGGCCGTCTGGAAGGAGGCCTGATCAACATCCTGCTGGTCGGTGGATGCGGCAGAGCTGCTCACCACCAAGACATCTGCTGTGAGTGGGACCTGACCTTGGGGCCCTCCTGCTGGGATGTCCTTAGAAGTGTTGTTGGCCACGTTGCCTGGGGGGACCCCGGAAGTGCCATGTGCGGGGCTGCTGGTGGGGCTGCTGGTGGCACTGGCCTCTACCGAGGGCTCTCCTGTGGTCATCTATGCTCTCCGCTACTTGTGGCGGTTGGAGGGAGTGGCTGCAGCCCAACTGGGCTGAGTTGTCCAGGTGGTGAGGTCACAAGGGACTGTGGCCACTGGTGATGTCACAGGTACCCGCGGAGCAAGGGTCCTGAGCCTCTGGAGCAGCCTTCCAAGTGGGCTGAGTCTATGGGACAATTTGTCACCAACTTTGCAGGTACATAGGAAAAAAATGTCTTGGAAAGGGCTAGAGGTGTGTGTACAGGGCCAAGTACAGCCACAGGGCTGCAGGAGGAGTGAGAGCTGGGACTCTCACAGATGAGAAGGGATGCAGATGTTGATTCAGAATCAGTGTTGGCCTGGTACGGTGGCTCACGCATGTAATCCCAACATTTTGGGAGGCTGAGGCGGGCGGATCACCTGAGGTTGGGAGTTCGAGACCAGCCTGACCAACATGGAGAAACCCTGTCTCTACTAAAAATACAGAATTAGCTGCGCATGGTGGCACATGCCTGTAATCTCAGCTACTAGGAAGGCTGAGGCAGGAGAATCGCTTGAACCTGGGAGGCAGAGGTTGCGGTGAGCCAAGATCGCACCATTGCACTCCAGCCTGGGCAACAAGAGTGAAACTCCATCTCAAAAAAATAAAAAAATAGAATCAGTGTTTATAAGGGACCCCTCCTGGCACCTCTCTGTCTACTCTGGTGCCTCAAGACCCCAATTTAAGCTGAGCATGGTGGCTCATGCCTGTAATCCTAGCACTTTGGGGGGCTGAGGCAGGTAGATCACCTGAGGTCAGGAGTTTGAGACCAGCCTGGCTAACATGGTGAAACCCTGTCTCTATTAAAAATGCAAAAATTAGCCAGGCGTGGTGGTGGGCACCTGTAATCCCTACTCGGAAGGCTGAGGCAGGAGAATCGCTTGAATCCGGGAAGTGGAGGTTGTAGTGAGCTGAGATCACGCCATTGCACTCCAGCCTGGGCAGAAGCAGACTCTGTCTCAAAAAAGAAAAAGAAATTAAGAAAGACCCTAATTTAATCAGTTTCCTGCAAGGAATCATTTTCCCAGCAGTGAGAGTAGGAATAAGCAAAAGCCAAGGGCCTGGGCAGCTCCTGACCAGCTGTGGCTGCCGGGTTAACCCTTTTGATGTAGGTCAAAAATCTTCATCTTCTCCTTGCCCAACCGGTCTGGGAGGGCAGAGAATAACAAAAGGTCTACAGACCTCTGAGTATTCCTTGGAAAAGCATAACCCCGGATAAACCTACTTGTGCCTATGGTCATTAAGAAGATGGTTGGAGGAGGCCAGGCACGGTGGCTCACGCCTGTAATCCCAGCACTTTGGGAGGCCGAGGTGGACGGATCATGAGGTCAAGAGATTGAGACCATGATGAAACCCCGTCTCTACTAAAAAAAATACAAAAATTAGCTGGGCGTGGTGGTGCACGCCTATGGTCCCAGCTACTCGGGAAGCTGAGGCAGGAGAATTGCTTGAAACCGGGAGGCGGAGGTTGCAGTGAGCCGAGATCGCACCACTGCACTCCAGCCTGGCGCCTGGCAACAGAGCAAGACTGTCTCAAAACAAAACAAAAAAAAGAAGATGGTTGGAGGAAAAGGCTCAGTCCGTTGTGTCTGTGCTTCTCCAGGGGTTACCAGCTAACAAGGTGACTGCTTGTGGGCAGGAAAAGGGTGATGGCATCCTTCCCACCACCCATCACCTGCAGGTAGGTACGGATCTACTAGTATACCCAGTTTACACACAGGCATGCTGAGCCTCACGGAGAATAAGTGACTTAAAGCCACACCACTAATAAGTGCTGAATCTGGGATTTGAACCCTATCTGGCTTCAATACTAAGCTTTCCAGCACTCTCTCTGTGGGAAGTAGAAAGTTCCTTTTTAAAGTGTCGTTTCTTGTTAAAGAATAAATCGTAAGTGTGCTAATAACTCTTCCTTAAGCCCTCTGCTATGTAGCTGTTAGACACGCCATGCTTACAGGCACGTAGTACATTCTATGTCCTTGTACTTTAACCAAGGTATCTGTGCTGGACGTGCTCACAGGCATGCCCCAGCTCTCCATTGCTTTTACCTGTTTAGAAAAGTTTTGAGTTGTTAGCCAATCAGGTTTTAGTTTAGAGTGTGAGGTCTGGCTCCAGCCAACAGAGATCAGACACAACGGTAAGGACAACCCTAAATGGGTAAGGAATAAATTTGTCTGTTTTCCTTGATTCATTGCACTTTTGTGACAAGATGGTTAGCAAGAGTACCCTTCCGCAGTTCAGGAAGTAAAAATTGCGTTGCTGAAAGATCCTTTGTCTCAGTGCTGATTTTTCTTTGTGGCACTGAGCATCTACTTCCAACACTCTCGTACCCAGGAGGGATATTAAAAATGTTGCATGAGTGGCCGGGCACGGTGGCTCATGTCTGCAATCCCAGAACTTTGGAGGGTCAAGGTGGGAGGATAGCTTGAGCCCAGGAGTTCAAGACCAGCCTGGGCAATGTAATATGACCCTGTCTTTACAAAAAATAAAACAAAAATTAGCTGGGCATGGTGGTGTGCACATGTAGTCCCAGCTACAGGGGAGGCTGAGCCCCAGGAGGAGGATTTCTTGAGCTCAGGAGTTCAAGGCTGCAGTGAGCTATGATCACATCATTGTACTCCAGCCTGGTGACAAAGCAAAATCCTGTGCCTTAAAAAAGAAAAAAAAAAAAAGAAGCCAAGAGTGGTGGCTCATGCCTGTAATCCCAGCACTTTGGGAGGCTGAGGTGGGCAGATCAATTGAGGTTAGGAGTTTGAAACCAGCCGGCCAACATGGTGAAACCTTGTCTCTATTGAAGTTACAAAAATTAGCTGGGCATGGTGGTGTTCACCTGTAATCCCAGCTACTCAAGAGGCTGAGTCATGAGAATTGCTTGGACCTGGGAGGTGGAGATTGCGGTGAGCTGAGATTGTGCAACTGCACTCCAGCCTGGGCAACAGTGCAAGACCCTGCCTCAAAAAAAAAAAAAAGAAAGAAGAAAAAAAATATATCTAATGACTAGCATGGTAATGATGCTGGCGGATGCAGAGGCCTCCCAGTAGAACTGGTTCCACCACACCAGCAGGTGACAGCTGCTGCCAGGGCTGCGCCAACAGCAGCATGGTCAGGAGTGTATGGAAAATTTCCCTCCCTGAAACTCTCTGCCCTTTTCCTCTCTCCTCTCTGCTGCTGCCTCTCCTGGCTGGCTCCCTCCCTCTTCCCCCTCTCCCAGGATCAGGGCTTCCCTTCACATTCCTTTCACTGACTCCCGCTCAGCCAGCCTCTGTCTTAACCCTCTGACGCTGACTGCGCTTCAGACACCAGGCTCCTTGCTCACTGTTTCTTTTCCCCGCAGATACCCTGCCGCCAGCTCAGAGGTCACAGGGCGAACCCAGGCTTGTTGAAGTATGAGGGACTGAGGACAGCCTCTGGCTTGTGAAGCGGTCCTGCAGAGGCTGGAGGCTGCGCATCCCAGACGGCCTTCTTCCTTAGTGTCAGACCAATGGCTAAACAGAAACTACAGGAGGCTCCTGCTTTGGATGAGGCTCTTGCACCGGGCCCCAGCAGACTGGACTAAACGTCAAGATGGGGTCACTCACGCTGAGGATCCAAATCACCGGGAGACAGAGGTGATTGCTAGTTTCCCAAATGAGTCAGTTTCTTTTCTTCTCTTTTTTTTGAGATGGAGTCTTGCTCTGTCACCCAGGCTGGGGTGCAGTGGCACGATCTTGGCTTATTGCAACCTCTGCCTCCCAGGTTCAAGCAATTCTCCTGCCTTAACCTCCTGAGTAGCTGGGACTACAGGCATGTGCCGCCATGCCTGGCTAATTTTTGTATTTTTAGTAGAGACAGGGTTTCACCATGTTGGCCAGACTGATCTTGAACTTCTGACTTCATGATCCGCTTGCCTTGGCCTCCAAGTATGCTGGGATTGCAGGTGTGAGCCACCACACCCGGCCTTTCTTTTCTCTTTTTTTGAGATAGAGTCTTGCTCTGTTGCCCAGGCTGGAGTGCAGCAGCGTGATCTTGGCTCACCGCAACCTCGGCCTCCCGGGTTCAAGCGATTCTCCTGCCTCAGCTCAGGCTGGTCTTGAACTCCTGGCCTCATGTAATCCACCCACCTCAGCCTCCCAAAGTGCTGGGATTACAGATGTGAACCACCACACCTGGTGTTTT